AAGTGGTTCAATTATCATTAGTCTTTTTTTTTCTCTTACTGGCCTTAGGACTATTTCGGACTATTGGACTCAGTCTTTCCCCTTGGATTTTCTTTGGTCACCTGGCTTTGGCTTTCTTAGATGGAACTTCAACCTCAGGACTCTTGGACTTGGCCTCATTGAAAGGATAACAGAATTCCTCCATTGGGTGGCCCATTTTTTAAGAATTTTCTTTAGATACCTGGACATTGGCTTTCTTGGATTGGTTCAACCCTGGAATCTGGACTTGGCCTCTTGGAAGTGGTTCAACTTTGTTTTATTTGGATTTGGCCTCTTTGGATTGGAACAGATACTCCTTCCTTAGGGTGGTTCACTTTTGGATACTATGGACTTGGCCTTCTTGGAGTGGATCAATGTCTGGATTATATTTTGGCCTCTTGGATTGGATCAACTACAGTACCTTGGATTTGGCCCTTCTTTTTTTGTGTACAGATTTCCTCCTTGGTCTTATTTTTTTTGGATACAGGACTTGGCCTTCTTGGATGGAACAGATACTCCTCCTGGAAGTGGATCAACCCTGAACCCTGGATTTGGCTCCTCTTGGATGGACCCTTTTTTCTGGATTCCTTGCCACTCTTACTAGTTACCTTTTTTCCTTACCTTTTCTATATATCTTTTTTTTAGTCTTCTATTTTCATACTGGCTGCATTGTCTGGGGACAGACAATAAGTTGGGGGAGGATGTGGTAACCCATACCTTTCCATATCATCTATTATTTTACTGTACATTCACTGGGAATTGTTATAATATCACTACAGAATCAGATTCTACACCCCTTTTTACCTATAGTCACTCACTCAAGTCATATCTCATTTCTTACTGGTTCATTAGTTAATTGCAGTTTTAGTTTTACAGATATTATTCTTTACATTTACATTACACATTAACTACATACAGTACATATTTACAGTTTATCACATACATCATATTTTTCTCAAGTATTATCTTCTTACATATATCTCTTCACATTACATCAGCCACACTCCTTTACAAGTACTTCTTTTCACATTACATACTACATATATTTTCTCAGACACACTCCTTACAACTATGCTTTCTCATATGCCTTCAGGATAACAGTAGTACACTCTTTCACAGTCTTTATCTTTTGGGATTGTTTTTCTTTACTCATCCTCCCTTTTGATTGTTTACTTTTCACATCTCTTGTTCTACATTTGTACATTGTGCTCCCATAGCCAGACTGACTGTAACCTGTGCTCATTTGTACCTTGAAGTATATATACAGTCTTCTTATCATTTTTGTACCCCCTTATGCAATTTCTCCCCTACAGATATTATTGTGCCCCTCAGATAAAATCTATTTTTACTTTCAGAACTCACTTTAGTGACCTTGCCCTGTTTAGGTGCTTGCCCCAGAAATACCTTTACACTCAGTGTCCTCAGAGCTCTGCTTTATTTACCACCCTCATAGTCTCACTTCTTCCCCTGTAGGTTGATAAGGAACAATCTCATCAGTTATAGCAGTCTAAGAAATAGATAGAAATTAGCCACACCTCTTCTTTATTTTCTTAGTGTAACCCTCTCTCCTCAACATTAGTCTCAGAGGGCAGCCTCATCAGCACTCATAGCTTAACTTACAATACTAGTAGTGTAGTTTGCTATTCCCCTCTAAAGCTCTGTTCTGGTTGTTCAGAAGTTCCACACCGAGATGTTACGTTCAATTCCAGGTCAACACCGAGTTTCAACTCCATACTATCCAGAAGGTCAAGGAATGGTTGAGCGTGGCCACGGACCCCTTAAATCAGCTTTGGTTAAGCTTGCTGGCAAAAGTGGAAAGAATTGTCGAAAGTTTCTTCCTCTTGTTCTGTTTGCCAATCGTATTTCAACCAAACGAACCACAGGATATTCGCCCTATGAGCTTGTCTTTGGACAGAGAGCAGTTCTGCCTATTGATCTTGAAATGGAATCCTATCTTGGTATTGATTGGGAAGAAGTAGAAGACACGGCTGACCTTCTAACTGCACAATCTCGACAGCTGGAACGTAGTGAAGAAACCCAAGGAGTTGCTTATCAGAAGATGATGAAGGCCCGTGAAGAGTCTGTCCAATACTGGGAAGATAAGAAATCCGATCAAATCAGGAATCCCTTGAAACCAGGCAAACTAGTTCTGGCTTATAATCGTTCTCTCGAGTCTCAGTGGGGAAAGCTTTTCTTAAATCAATGGAATGGTCCTTATTGTGTGGTTTGTCAAGTTCAAGGTGGATCATATTTTCTGGAGGAGTTAGATGGCACGGAACTTGCACGGCGCTTCTCGGCAGATCAGGTCAAGAGGTTTTTTCCCCGTGGAGGCAAAGTTGACCAAAAGTAAGTCCTCCCAATGTATGCATCTCCAGGGTATCTACTACCGCGTTGTAAAAACTCTACTTTATGCCACATTTGTGAGCACCTGGATGGGCCCCTGGTTGGTTTGGTTTTTTTTAGGTTTTACTTTAGGTTTCAAGGGTAGGAGAAGAGAAGAGCAATCTAGGGACAGACTGCAAGTGGTGAGGAGATGTGGTGTTCTAAACGGTACAGGCCCCCTCAAGGTCCAATTTCAGAATTCAACTATCAACTCTTCAATATCCTCAAGACTCAAGATTTCAATATTATCACCTCAAATCCCCACTCAGTCCAATGGTTTCCTCATTTTATTATTTTATTCCATTTCCTCTTATTATTTACTCTTCATATTATTTTTCATTCATCTTGATTTTATTTCTATTTTATCATTTTATCATTCTTTATTATCTTTTTCAGATCACTTACTCAGAAGACAGTCTTGTTTAATTTTCTTGGTCTCAAGACATCTCAGGATGTTGGTTTATTTCACTCTTGATTATTTTGTTTTTTTTTGTTTTGTTCTGTCTTGTTCTGTTGTGTGTGTTGTGTTGTGTTGTGTTCTTTTGTGTAGTGTTGTGTTGTGTAGTGTTGTGTTGTGTAGTGTGGTCTTGTTTTTCTTTTTTGGTTGAGTTGTGTTGTAGTTAGGGATGTGATGACTCATGTCACTCCCCAGAGTCAAAGTTCAGTTTGAACTGAGATGATGGGGAAGGATGGCACTCTGATCTGATCCAAGGTAGACCCATCATTTCTTATTGATCTTTTTATTATTGATTCATCTGATACTCATACTCACCTTCACATATCCTCAACCTCAACAACCGCCACAGAAATCAAATTCTGTTGTCTCCTCTCAGAAAACCAGCCAACCCCAACGCTTTTTGTTCAGATCACAGCTCACTCATCCAGACCCCACTTGAAGGCAGCCCTCAAAGCACTTTCCCTTCAACCAACTGCCTACCGCCTGGAACGATAGGAGTTCCACACCGGAAAGACCGCTGATGCTACGACGACCGCTGGTCCGGCGTCGGGAGTGCTTGATCTCTTGGGTGCTACGACAACCGTTGGTCCGGCGTCGGGAGTGCTCGATCGCTTGGGTGCGGCGTCGGTGTGGAACTACTCTTGGGATGAATAGAGCTTGAGAGGGATGAGTGTTTTATTGGGCTGCCTCTCTGATAACAAGAAAAGATAAGAGTATGGACTCTTAAGGAAAAAGGTGTGGCTGTGGAGATTTCTTGAGGATGGTATGTCTAATATTTCTTATGGTTACTAGTCTAAATAAACTTGTCACAAATCAAGGTATCCCAAATGTTGATGGGCAAATACCTGGCTAATAATGGGTGATCAGTTATCTGAATTGCTGGGGAAGGATCTGATGAGGAACAAATGAAGTGGAAAAACAAAGCTCCTTATATACAAAATTCTGGGGAGTGGCCAGCTTGTGGTTGGAGATAAGTGGAGTATTCTATGAAGAGTATGAAACAAGGGAAAATATTTATCCAGAGAAAACAGGGGAAACAAGCAGTGGGAAAATGCTCCCAAGGTTACTAGTACGAAACAACTAAGGGGGGAATATTCCATGGAAGAAAATAGGAGGAGATAACAGTTTCATAGGCAAGGGGATTTTTACTAGTGTGGAACACAAGGGGTAAGAAGAATAGAATATGTTTGGAGGGGAATGAGTTTCAGGGCTGTGGAGTTTCTGTCTGGGAAATAATATTATCCATGGGGGCTGTGCTTGAGGGGATTCCTGATTGGTTTTGGGGGTCTGGGGAGCTTTCTGGGGTGTCTTGATTGTGTGATTCTTCTGTGATTTGTGCTCTTGATGACTTTGAATTTTCAGGAGTGGCTTACCACATTGGGAGTGATTGATTGCTTGGGTGCTACGACGACCGTTGGTCCGGCGTCGGGAGTGCTCGATCGCTTGGTTGGCTCCATTGGTGCAGAGGTTTTTTTTTCTTCTTTAGCCTGTAGCGGATTAAAGTTTCCCGTGCCTCAGTTGGGAGAGGCGCAAGCACGACAATGACGCCATTATGTGATGATTGGTGGGGCATGATGGGAGCCCAACCTGCCTCCGCCGTTGGCTGGCTGATGAAAGCCAGGCTGGATTGTCTGGGTGAGACATGGCCAACTGGAGCCGACACCGTCGTATGTTAGCTTTGCTGACAAAGCATGTCGGCAAAGTTGGGCCGACCAATGGATCGGGTGAGTTGGGCTGGCGTAGGCCTGTCCGATCCCCCACCACATCCCAATTGAGCCGTGATTCTCAGGGCGGACAGGTTGGCACTGACCTGTCTGCGACTGCGCAGTCAAGCCCACGGGGTCAAATAAAAAATATCGACCCATGGTGTATGCGTAATCCGACATGAGACTGTGCTGCAGCGGCTCCTTCAGAGCCTCTGCTAACCCCCTCTTGCAATACAAGATGTTTCTCTACAGAGAAGAAACGTCAAAGATAGACCACTGACACAACACATCTCACTACTCCAACCCCACACCTTCCTGCTAAACTGCACCACCTCAACTCTCAAACATGAAACATGAAATCCATAAAATTGGTCATAAATTATAATCATGAGCCTAACAAAAATTGGTATGGGTTCCTGTCAACAATCTGGGGTCAGCTCTCTGAAAGAGACTCCCCCCAGCAATCCAGTAAACCCAGTTTTTCAGGAGTGACTCCTCCCAATAAAAATTATTATGCACCAGCTTTCCGGGAGCATCCCATCAAACCCAGCTTATTTTGGGAGGGATTGCCCCCCCCCCTCCAAAAAAAAACTGGAATATGAAACAGCTTGCTGGTGAATACTCAAACCAAAGCAAATGTGGAGGAAAACAATCAATATAATACAGCTTTCCAGGAGCAACTCCTCCTGGGATTTCAGTATTGGGAGAGGATCCTCCTGTAAAACAGGCTTATGTAACAGCTCACCAGGAGGGGCTCCTCCTGGCAGGCTGGTATTAAATCCATCTTGTGCTGGGAAGTATAGTCCTTCCCAAAAAACTTAATTTTTAACCAGCTTTTTAGTCCTCCTGGAAAGCTGGGATTTATACTTGCTTATTGGGGGAGAATCCCTGCAACAAGCAGTTTTTGATACCAGTTTTTCAGGGGGAGCTCCTGTAATGTTGGCATTAAACACAGCTTGTTGGAAGGAGCTTCTGAAACATTGGGAGTAAACCCAGCTCATTGGGATGAGTTCTTGATTAGTTGGTATTAAACCCAAATGAAATCCAGTTTGTTCTGAGGAACACCTCATCATTTGGTGTAGGCAGCCTAAACCTCATCAGGAGGGGTTCCTTGCAATGAGCTGGGTTGAATAACAGATTACCAAGAAGGAAACCTATGAACAAGCTGCTATCTGACACAGTTTTTTTGGGAGGGAATTCTCCCAACAAAATGCATTAAGTAATGGTTTTTCAGGAGGGATTCCCACCAACAATTTGATTTTAAATTCAGATCGTAAGGAGGAGTCCACATTCCCTCCCAGATGGCTGGTGTCAGAACCATCTTGTTGAGATCAATTCCTTCCAATTCAGGGAAGGCTCATGTTTGATTAAGGGGGCATGATAACCCCCTTGCGCACGCTGTGAGAACTCCTTTGGGAATGGTGGCAGTCCTGTGAGGGGGAAATAGCAGATGAGATATATCACGTATGTAATGATCTACTACAACTGTTACGGCTGGTTTGAAAGACCTGCCCCTCTATTGTACTACACAAGAGTTAACACAACAATTTATTTTTATTGTTGTGGCAAAACTGATGATAGAGAAAACTATGTGTAGCAGTCTCTTATCAAACCTAGATCAACGTGGATTCAGCAGACTATTTGAGTGGAAATGTTGAGTAAGAGGTGTTTTCTTGTTTATATGTTTATGTATTTTGAAAAATGATTGACGTATGTACTGATGATAAATGTTTATTTATGAGATGATTTTTGTGGAAAAAATGTGACTATTGAAAGTGTCTTTTCCCTTCCTTCTTGAATCTTAGTCAAGAGCACAATGGTTTAAGATCACTGTCTCTTGTTTAAGATCACAAGTTGTACTGGTTGCTACTTTCTTTTTCCTATGCTTCTCAATGGCTGAATGATCTCAATAGGGCACTTTGATTAAGATCACACTGGTTAATGTATAGATTGATTGCTCTGTTCTGTCTGGTTGATGATCAGATGAGATGATGATCTCTGTTGTGATGAGATGATCTGATGAGATGAGATGATATGAGATATTGGAATGAGGGGGGAAAGCCCCTCCTTAAATAGTCTATTTTACAACCCGGCTGACTTGTGGTTCTAGCCCTAACCTATAATCTATAAATGGCCAACTTGTGGTTCTAACCCTAACCTATAATGAATATGCATCTAATCATCTGGCCAAATTGTGGTTTTGCTACTATACAAAATTCACAGTGTACCTAAAAACAATGTGGCCAACTTGTGGTTACACTATGCAATAATCATTTTTTATGCAAATAAAATTTAAATCCCAAATAACTTTTGACTGAGTGGAGCTAGCCTAGTGGTTCCAGTGAGTGACTATGGGTTAAATGACCCGTAGAATGTGATTATGCCATAATACGCCTAAGAATATATGCCCTTCTACAAATTGGACTGTGACTTTATCCAATTCGATACTTGAAACACAATTGGCATACTACAATGCCAGGTGCGGATTGGTGTGTGCACCTGCACACCAAAGCAAATTGGTGTGCGGGTCCGCACACCAATCTACAGAGTGTAGACCGGCGTGCAGGCCTGCACAGTGCACGTCAAAGATTCCTAAATGCATATGTACACATATGCATTTAGGACCACTGCCATCCCATAGGACCCAGTCATGGGTCCTATAGGACGGCGGCGGAGAATCCTGAGAAAAAAGAAAACAAAAACAAGGCTGGGAGGGGGTTCCTCCCAGCCTTAGACCATAAGCTCATAGGTTCATGTCAGGAGGGATTCCTCCCAACAAGATGGCTTTGAATACAGCGCATTGGGAGGAAACCCTCCCAATGAGCTGTGCTTGAGACCAGCTCATCAGGAGTAAAACCTCCCAATGAGCTGGACTGTGTAGCAGCTCATTGGGAGGAAACCCTTGCAATGAGCTGGTTTCAAGTCCAGCTCTTTGGGAGGAAATCCTCCCGATGAACTGGGCTTAAGACCATCTCGTTGGGAGGAAACCCTCCCGGTGAACTGGGCTTAAGACTCAGCTCATCAGGAGGAAACCCTCCCAGTGAACTGGGCTTAAGACCAGCTCATCGGGAGGAAGAAACTATTGATGAGCTGGTCTTAAGCCCAGTTCATCAAGAAGGGTTCCTCCCAATGAGCTGGACTGTGTACCAGCTCATTGGGAGGAAAAACTCTCAATGAGCTGGACTGTGTACCAGCTCATTGGGAGGAAAACCTCTCAATGAGCTGGTCTTAAGCCCAGTTCATAGGGAGGGTTTCCTCCCAATGGGCTGGATTTGAAACCAGCCCATTGGGAGGGTTTTCTCCCAATGAGCTGCTACGAGTTTACAGTCTTCAGGCTTTGAGGAAACCCCTCCCAGCCTTGTTTTTTTCCTTTTTTCTCATGGTTCTCTGCCGCCGTCCCATAGGACCCATGAAAAAATCATCCTCTTGTGAATTCAATTTAGAAATTTTGTTGTCTCATGATTGAGTTTTTTAAAGCTCATATTATTGATTGTATTGTGTTTATATGAAGAAATTACAGTTTTTTTTTTTAATTTTATTAAAACTTGGGTAATTTTGAGGCTGTTTTTATTGTACTAGGGGAAATGAATTCCAGAATCTATCTGAGAAAGTATTAGATTTAAAACTGGAAATGATAAGTTTGATGAAATTGACTGGTGTGAGAGGATCTAAATCTACAAAGAATATCCTGATCTGATCAAGAGACTTTCAAACTTTTATGCTGGGGCTGCAGAACAAATCATTCTGTGCTGATTCTATTTACTATTTCTGTAAATTAGAAGTGAAATAAAAGACTCATCACATGAGGAAACTCTAGTGACTTTGATAGTATTTTATTTTGAATTTTGTCTGAATTTTGAGTGAAAGATATGAGAAAATCAGTTCCCAATACTGTGAAAAATATGGGAATTTCAGGTTCGTTACCAAAGTGATTTTTTCTGATTTTTGTTTGATTTTATGGTGACATGCAGTCACTGGGCAACCAGTGCCCTGAAATTTCCCCTGGTGCAAAGAATCGAGCTGCCTTGAGTTTGGGCAATGGACCAATCAGATTGTGATAGAAGAATTCAAAATTGTCAGGCTAAGTGATGCCAAGAGCAGAACTCTTCTAGCTACACTAGCTGCAAGAGTAAAAATGGGATGTGTACACGTGTGGGTGACACGTGAAAAGTGGGGGAAGTGTGTGTAAAATAAAAGAAAATAGTAAATAAAAACTGTTAAGTTTTTATTTACAGAGGGGCCTGAGTTGCAGGCGTTTTTTACTGTGCCCTCTAATTCAGGTCCTGAGTTGCAGGGGTGGTACTGAAGTTCTGGTCCTTTATAATAAAGGAGTAAACCCAGAAAAAGTCTACTACTGAAGAATAAAAGAGATTACTGGTACTTATCTCTAATCCAAGGAGGTCTTCAGGAGAGGGGGGCTGTTCTTGAAGAGCTCAGAAAGGTGAGTGAGAGGTGTTAGAAGAGTGCTGGGGAACAGGTGTTGGATGGTTGAGTGAAATTCAGGTTGATAACAGCAGGAACTGGGCCAAAAGGCAGGTTGAAACTGGTTGTTGGTGACGGTTTATGCTGGTATGTACTGATGAAGATGGGGAAACAAAGTTCAGGGGGAAGAAGGGGCTCTTAAGTACCCATTCTGGGCCTCTGGAGGCGAACTCAGGAGTCTCTCTAGTTGCTACAACTTTCCTACTAAGCCTATGGGAGCTTTTGATCATCTGTAGCACCTGTAGAGCTTGGTTACAGGTGCCAAGGAGATGATGTAATGCTTGTAACCATGTTTACAGGGTGTTCTGACGAAACTGTAACACTCCTGCAGCCTATGTAAGCACTGCATGATGCATGGGTTGATCTTCAAGAGAGTAATGGTCCCAATTGGGCCAAAAAGGGCCACAGATCATCCCAAACAGTTTAATACTGTAGTCTGTGCTCATGTAGTTAAGGTTTCAATTATGTAAACCTTGTTTGTAGATTTTTTCCGAACTGCATGAACCTTAATTACACATGTAGCCCCCTTACAACATGTAGTATGATGTAACTGGAGGGGTCCACAGTGTATTTTGGCCCAATATCACTCAAGGACTACAAAGTAAGTGAAGGAGTAATAATTCAGGGGTACACTTGGTGAGCTACCCTAGGTTATTTTGCATGTAGATTCAGAATCTGCAATAATATTCTGAGTTATACTTAAGGTTCAGAAGTTATTAGGAGATTCTGGTTAAAATGCTATTTTTTTATTATTTATTTAATTATTTAAATGTTTTTCTGTTGACATGTTACAATTCAAGTAGACTGTGTAATAATGTCTCTATTATAGTGTTTCAACTTATTTAAATAGTATATTTTATTATTTTAATTGTATGTACAGTCTCCTCCCAGATGTTTATAGCCATCTGTTTTGAGCTCCACACCGGGAACCCAAACATTTCAAGTCACAAGAATTTGTGGAATGGTGGAAAACGGGTCTTAAAGAATGAATATGAAAAAATAATAACAAAAAATAAGATTTTAAAATTTGTAAAAAGTAAAAAGAAGAAAATCACAAAAACTGACAGCTCTGATATTTCTTTCAGGAAAAGATGAAATGTCCAAAGTGATAGTATGAGATCTGGAATGAATGATAAAAAGTGAAAATTTGGAAAAAAATGACTACTTGGTGGTTTGAAAAGGGTGTCTAGGGGGTCATTCATCAAGAAATGTGGCATTCTGGTACTGCAATCTACTGATTTTGACTGCAGGGTGTCCACCCACCATGCTGAAACTTTTTTTGGATCAATATTTTTCATTTATAATCATTCTTTTCATGCTCCAAACTTGCCCTCTGTGTGTTCACTTTTCGCTCAAACAAAAAATTAAAGTTTTCAAAAAAAGTTGATTTTCTTTTATCTTTTTCACAAATTTTAAAATTTTATTTTTTATTATTATTTTTTCATATTCATTCTTTGAAACCCATTTTCCACCATTCCACAAACTTTTGTGACTTGAAGTATTTGGGTTCCCTCTGTGGAGCTCAAAACAGATGGCTATAAACAACTGGGAGGAGACTGTACATATGTAAGTAATAATATCTCTAATTTATATGTAAAATGTTATGTACAGGCTGGCTCTGATTAGTATAGAGATCGTTCGTTCGGACCTGTTGGGGGGTAGCTGCCACACTTCAGATCAAGCCCTCCACATCAACAGCCACCATAAATACCAGTGGGGGGCCCAGTACTAAACCTTCATCATTACTGAACCCTCTGGAAGAATCAGTGGTGTCTGAGGGTGTGGAGGGAGTGTTTTGAAGTGTGGCAGGTACCCCCCAACAGGTCCGAACGAACGATCTCTAGATCATTAGTAGCAGGCTGACAAAAATTGACTACAAGGTCTTTGGAAATTTTCTTCAAAACAGCTTCAGGGAATTGGCTCTTGTACTTTTTTACGGTATGTCTCTTCTTTTTTGGTTTAATATAAGCGGGTATGTCTGCTTCAAAATGGCTAGGATGGTTCAAGATTTCTTCGAAGTTGTCTCTTGTGAACAAATGTGCTGAGTTTTGTATATGAACCACAGCTTTGGGCTCACAGTTTCAGCATTCACATTGATTGAACTTCATGTACTTGTGACAGGATTCTTTGATGAGATAGTTTGGGTCATTTTTTTGAGACAGGTATGTATCCATAACTGCACAAATAAATAACCACTCTTTTTAGCTGAAATCCCAAAGCAATCAGTCAAAAAGAAAACCCACATTTTATCCACAGCATTAGCTACCCTTAGACAGACCGGCGTCACAGCGTAAGCATCCATACAATCATCATCGTCCCACTTTCAAAATCCTTCACTGCATTTTTCCCCTTCTTTCAATTTTTTTTCATGAATAAAATAGCTAATCCAGGTCTTCCATCCCGTCCACAACGCCCCATCATTTGTTAGAATCTAAGCCCGCAAACACTGCGCATACAGGATACGCAGCGTTGTGGACACAAACTTAATTCTCACCAATCATCAAGTCAGCTAAACCTAACCTAATAAAGAATCCACCACCCTACAAAAACCCGGAAAACAACCGATACTTCTAGTTTCTTTTCTTCACATGCTCAAAAACATTTTCATGTGAAGAAGAGAAACTAGTAATTCATTTCAACACTTCAGAAAAACCAAAGCCGATCAATAACTAACATGGATTTTCTCACTTGTTATCTTTTTTTTTGTTTTCTTTTGTATCATAGATTTAAATCTCTTGTGTGTCCTTCCAAACTCATAAAAAAATCAATACCCTTGCTGCGCTTGTGCAGGTATGCACCATAACTTGTTCTTTCTTACTCTTTCTATCACCAGACTATATGTTTCTCAATCATCTAATAACTCATGTTTCTTTTCTCTTATCTCTTTATCATTCTTTTCTATTGATTCAGGTGTGTGATCAAATCAGGGGTTGTTGTTGTCATTCAAACAACCCGACTCATTTTATTCTTGTTATCAGGTTTGACTCTTTTCTTTTCTTTATGTTTTGGGGCTTGGAAAAACGACTCCCAAATTTTAGTCGATGACTCCCGTTTTGGTCGGGAGGTCGTCAAACGGGAGTCGTTCTTCCAATTCCCAAAAAAACATAGGGAGTCGTCGCAGTAGTTTTACCTGGAGAATTTTAATTTTTTTTATTAAAAAAATAGGGAGTCGTCCGCCTAAAGTGCGGGAGTCGGCGCACCAATTCCGCCTAATATTTCGCCCTTTTTTATATTTAAATTGACGGGAGTCGTCCACCTAATACAAGGGAGTCGTCGCACCAATTCCTCCAAATGTTTTGCCTTTTTTTTTCTATATCAAAAAAAGATGGGAGTCGTCCAACTAGAAATGGGAGTCGTCACCATATGGCACCCTCAGAGACTCCAAAGAAAGGTTGAGCCACTGAGGCCCCACCCCAAAGGCAATTTTTCAATGATAAAAAAATTAGATTGATTGAGAAAAACCATTGCAAGAGATAAAAGAGATGACACACGGGCCAAAAATATTCAAAAATGATCAGAAAAGTAAGAAAAAAAAAGGGTAAAAAAGGACATAGAGGAAAAAAAAATCAAAAACTAAAAAAGACACAGGATAAAAAAACCCCTAGTGGTGTTTCATTGGGTTTTCTATTTTCCTCTCTACAGTCAATTCGAAAGAATAAGAAAATTGGGCTTCCCATCCCCAAGCCTCTTCTGACGCCTTTTTTTCCACTCCTTCATGAGCTGAGGGGCAGCAAAATGTCTTGGGTTATGTAACTGCAAGGGGACAAAATGAGAAAATTCATGTAGAAAAGCAATAAAAATAGGGGGGTTGTCATTGGGGGGGCAGAAAGAAGGAAGAAAAGTCTGGCAAAAGGTGTCAGAAAAAAAGCAAACAGGCCTCTCAAAGGAATTTGTCATTACCTCACCCGTCAAAGGCATGGACATCCAATGAGGCTTTGAACAAGGTGATGGCGAATCAACCTTGATACAATCCAAAGCGCCGTGGAGTTTGTGGAACACGTTTTGATACCAATCAGGCCGGCGAACAATTTCATTGTACAATTCATACCAACTCCTAGGGATTTGTCAACAACTCCTGCAAGACAAAAAAAGCCCAGTTGTCAGTTTGGACAATTGGGCCATCGACTCCCTTTCCGTCTGTGGAAATTAGCCTGACGACTCCCAAGGAAAAAAAAAAGAATCAAGAAAATTAAGGATCAAATTTGGGGCACCGACTCCCGCCTTTTAGGCGGACGACTCCCAAATTTTCAATTAAAAAAAAATAAAAAATTGCCTGTGGAATTAGGCCGACGACTCCCGGGAATTGGAAGAACGACTCCTGTTTGACGACCTCCCAACTGAAACGGGAGTCGTCGACTAAAATTTGGGAGTCGTTTTTCCAAGCCCCTATGTTTTTCTCTATCTCAAATTGCTCTGTTTCTTTTTCTATATTTCGTAATTATAAACACTCAACAAAATTTGCATGTGAAGAAGAGAAACTAATTTAAATCTCTTGTGTGTCCTGCCAAACTCATAACACTACAAACAATACCAGTTTTGCCCCAGGAAAAAATGGCAATTTGGTTGGTGGAGAACAGCTCAATTTCCTGAGCCTTTTTTACAAAATGACTCATGGGAGTAAAAATCAGGCTAAAAATGAGCTGTTTTAGCCCAAAAATAAAAATGCCTCAAAACTTCCAAAATTAATATTGAGCTCATTTGAGGCATTTTTATTTTTTTTGGCTAAAATAGCTCATTTCAGCCTAATTTTTACTCCTGAGCCATTTTGTAAAAAAAAAAAAAAAAAAAAAAAAAAAAAAAAACTCAGGAAAGTGACCTATTTTCCACAAACCAAATTGCCATTTTTTCCTGGGGCAAAACTGGAATTGTATGTAGTGTAAAGCAATCAATACCCTCGCTGTGCTTGTGCAGGTGTGTGATCAAATCAGGTGTCATCATTTTCATTCAAACAACCCCAACTCATTTTATTCTTGTTATCAGGATCTATTCCAAACATTACATCATTTGGCTAATCATTGATGGATCTCCTCGAACCACGTTAATGACACACCTAACTTGCTTCTACTTCTGGCCTAAGCCAAGTGCCATCGTACTCAAAAAGATCGGAAAATCTGTGTTCTCAAAGTCTTTGGTACAATCTAACTTATCTTCGTTTCCACTACAGGCATGGTAGCGCCTAACCAATTTGCTCGCACTATCATAATTGTCCTTCTTTTTTTCCTCTCGCTTTGTTTAGGACACGGATAACGGTTAAGGTTGCTTTACAAGTTCCAGAGTAAATCAAAGTTGGAAGTAAGTTATTATCTGATATCTCAGTTTCCTTTGTGAACATTCTTGAAAGGTCTTTGCAAGATTTAAGTGGATGATCCATGTAGAACCTCAGGATTTGGATTTTGGTTCGTACAAGCTCTCCATGGAAGAAAGTAATGTCAACCCTCTTAAGCATCAAGCTGCCCAGAATCAATTCAAGTACAGCAACCGGGCGGCAGGTTTCCGACAGTAGCAATATTGGCACATTGTTTGTAGCCATCAATCAATCTCCCAGCTTTCCATAAGACGGCCAAAAAATTCCATAGTCTTGGAGTCAATCCCGTACCGACAGAAACCTTTCTTTCCCCAATTCGACCAGCCCCCACACGTAAACCATGTGCGCCTTGTCCAGAACAACCAGGACAAGTCAACTTTGAAATTCACTGCTAAAATACATCTCTGCAAACAATTTTTTGTTTAGGAAGACTTCGGGGCTCTTCAAACCAACCCAAATCAGTAGATATTTGGGCAAGGGTCAAAAATCAAACAGTAGACAAACCAGGTAAACAAACGCGTAATCCCCTTGCTTTATTGCTGCAACTAAATCTTTGTTTAAGATCATTTTTCCAAGGCTGATTGCCTTGATGTTTGCTCTTGTCTTTTCTCAGACCTGCACAGGCCAGCAACTTGTTCAATTTCTTTTATCTTCATTCTGAACTGAGCAAGCCGGAAACGTACTTGATCTTCACCCAAAGAATCCAATGGATTGAGTACAAGCACCACCGGCCTCCTTTGTGGTGCATACATGTGAAAGTAGAGCTCCGCTATCCTTGACTTTCCGTATCTGGTTCCAGGAAGGACAAAGCTGTGATACCCACGAGCTAGATTGCAGACGGTATCCACTTGAAGTTTTTTTGCGTTGTCTTCATATTTCTCTTTGTATTTAGTTGTAACATAGTCTATCAGCTTCTTATTGTCCAAACTTGTGATCTCTTGATTCAACCTTAGAGGAGCTTTGTTTCCTTTTTCCTTTATAGCTGTTAATGAAGTGGATTTGACATGGGCTTCAGAGAGATTCTCAACTGATATTGCTAGTGATGATCCGTCCATAGCGCACAACAAAAATTGTGTTCAGCTCCGTTGTCTTAAATTCCAAAGGATTGCTTGATTGCTAGTATCTCCTCAAAACAAAACTCAATCGCTATCACTACCTACCCTGGGGTGCATACATGTGTTACTGACACTAATTAGGACAATTGAATTATAGATTTACATTCTCAACAGCTTAATTTGTCCAAAATGGATTTTATTATGAGCAGAGGGACAATGTGCTACCCCCTATTACCTCCAGACATGTTTTTCAAGCTTTTAAAGCAAAGTACTGCATAGTTTCCAAAACGGATCCCATTGAAGTAAAGCCAGGATGAAAGTGCATCTTTCCTTCTGCGGAGCTATCCATGTAGCTCTTAAAACAAGCAAGCTACAGTTTGTGGAACTTGAACCACATTTTTTGACAATCCCCTCAGACGAGCAGGGGCACTTTGATCATAAGTTCCTCCCTGCGGGAGGGGTGGCTTCGCCACGAGCCAGTGCTTCACACCATCGAGCCTCCCACCAGGGGGGACTTTGTTAAGTTAGCCAAAATTCTGCCTCAAAAAAATGGTGGGATCCCTCTATAACTGTAGTGTACCAACAAACTTTCTCACTAAGTTTGATGGGAAAAACACCTGCAAGTTGCATGCAGTCTAACATGACTGAGTATTATTTTGGATATTGATATTAAAAAACTAGAAACAAGTGAAAAAAAAAATCAAATTGTAAACAAGCAAGATTTTATTTATTTTTGGAAGAATTGCAAAACAAATGGACTTTTACAAGATTGACCACTGGCCAATTTCATTCAAGGAGATATGGATTTTGGTGCCAATTTGGTTTTTGATTGGATAAAATTCCAAGATAAATACCTTGGCCATTCTAGTAAACTTGAAAGGTTTCTGATTCTTAACAACAGATTACCTGAGGGAGTACTATGATTGAATTTCTTACCAAGCGCTGGTGGGTTTTTGGTTATCCAAGTAAGCAGGGTGCGCTTTTCAGCTGGCGACATTTTTGGAATCATATTGTACACTTCAGGCATTAGAGGCTTCCGGTCTTTAATGCCCATCAATAGTCTTTCTTGACTGAGTCCATTGTTTAAACACAGTAATTCAAGCCCCAACTTGTTACTATCTCCAAGATCGCGGATGAAAGAACTTAAGTTTTCAAGCCTTTCTTGATATAAATTTCCTGGCAAACGATTCAGCCATTCTCTTTCTGAGGATTCAATCCAGGGAATTGGAAGCGCTTTATCTTCATTGGAGAAAACTTGGATTAATTGTGTATATGATAAATCGGCTTTAGCTGGCTTTCTTTTCAATTCATGAATCCAATTTTCAGAGCCAAAGTGCAGTGCGTCTCCGACTTTGATGATTGTGAGAACATCCAAACCAAATCTATCACTTTCTTCTTCAAGATGAAATTCTTCCCACCATTTGGGAGAATCATACCGGTTCATCAGATAAAATTTCAGTTTATTCCTCCTGACACTTGCTTTCAGCCCGACTACTCGTGTGAGAACGGCCATTGCGCTTTCAGGGAGCTTTGAAACCAAATCTGATTTGTCACTTGGGATGTTATGGAAATTCAATAAAGAATCAGAAATTCCATAGTGTTCTTCAATCATATCCATAACTTTCTCTTCAATTTTTTGATTTCTGAATTCTTCCCTTTCCAACTTCCACTTGTTTGCAGCATCATGCTTATAAAGCCATTTTTCTAATGTCAACCACCGTCTTCGGCCTTCAAAAGGGCCAATCATTTCTTCAATCGGACGTTTGGCTTGGTGAAATGCACGACTGTTTTTCTTCCAATCTTCGAACAGAATCTGAAACATAGGAGGATCAAGATTTGGATCCATGCAATAGTGTAATGAGGTATCTGGAGGGTTTAAGAAAATCGCCAACGTATTTGCAATGTATAAATCTAGCTTCTCTTTTTCCATTCTTAATACGTTTTGTATCCCAAAATTAAGGCTGGCATTAGCAAGAGAAATATCCCTTTTTTGGTCGTCTGTAAACGGTTTCGCAAGATTTCTCATTTTGTTTTGATATTTTTTGCTAGTTTTTTTCATAGAGCTCACTGGAAACTCTGAGGGATTTTGGATGTGTTGAGGCAAGTAATTAGGCAATCGAATCTGACGAAACTTCTCTTTGATATCAGAGTTCCGGCTTGTACTCTGAGGACTGGGTTTTCGGTCTTTTGATTGATTCAAGCTAGGAGGTTGAAATGATTGCTTCTCCCTATCAAAATGAGCTGACTGATGTTTCGAAGTAGTTTCCGCACTTTCTCGAATGCTTGGATCAAAAAAGCCGACTGGAGATTTATTCAGACCATCCCGGGAGACCGGTGTCAAATCGGAAACTTCCTTAGCTGAAGAAGTTGCATCCATTTCTTTGGGACTGGGTTTTCGGTCTTTTGATTGATTCAAGCTAGGAGGTTGAAATGATTGCTTCTCCCTATCAAAATGAGCTGACTGATGTTTCGAAGTAGTTTCCGCACTTTCTCGAATGCTTGGATCAAAAAAGCCGACTGGAGATTTATTCAGACCATCCCGGGAGACCGGTGTCACATCGGAAACTTCCTTAGCTGAAGAAGTTGCATCCATTTCTTTGTCAGATGTATTTGAGTTGGGCTCTTTATCCTCCACAATTGCCTTATTTCTGAGGCCATTTGAATCGCTTGCACTTTGCTGAGGCAAGGGGCCACTTGTGTCGGCAATTTGCATTCTTGGCAGATCATCTTGAAGAGCTGACTGTTTTGTCCCATGGGGCTGCTTCTCTAAATTCTTTGGTGCGACTGGGTCAATCAATGCTTCAAGAACATTTCTTTCTGAATTTTTGGACACTTTGTTTTCAATTTTTTCTGTGGATTGAGGAAGCTTTTTTTGTCTGGGAGAGTTTTTAGTCAGTGGAGTCTTGGCCTGAGCTAGAGCCTCAGGGTCCTTTTTGAAGGATTCCTTCTGTTTTCCACCATCCCCAACGGGAGCGATAAGAGTAGTTCTGGTTGTTGTCATGGCTCGATTGAAATTACCCTCTGGAAGAGTTTTGGCGTCGGCTTTTGGCAGTATCGGTTCGACTTGAGGTTTTGCTGCCGGATCGGGACTGACTGGTTCCAAATTTACAGCGGCGCTTTCCTTTTCGCTTTAAATCCGGGAAAGTTGTTGGCACAGGATTTAACGTCTCAATCCTGAATAAGATCAATTGGTAAAAATTAACAGAGTGGTGACTTACTGAGTATCTTGCATATCTGTTAACAGTTTTTCACTGTCTCTATCGACGCTCTTGGCACTCAGCGAGGCAGGCGTAAGGAGATTTACATCGGCTTTGACCCTCAAAGGGTATGAATTGATGCTTTCAGTCTTTCCGACTTGTGCAGTGGGTTGATGTGCTTTCATAGAAATTTTACTCTTTTTCCCTTTCAATGATGATCGATTCATCTCTGCTTTAGTTGATGAGGATGAGCTATCAGGGATCGATTTATACAGGAGCAATCGTGTCTTTTCTGACAGTCCGTCAGACTTGTCGTCCAGAATCTTTCGCAAAGAAATAGCTTCCGCAGTTTCATCTGAATCACCACGCTTGGTGTTTTTGGTGGTGGATTGAGCGTTGAGAGAGGCTTGATAGCTAGCCTTCCTTGATCTTTGCGAAGCCTTTTTAAGAAAAATGGTTGTCTGAGGTGGAGTTGTAGGTCTTGCGTTCGATGTTCGAACGGTGTCGATTTCCTTCACAGGAGCTGGCAGTGGCAGCAATGGAAACTCATTGTCATACCTATCAACCATCTTATTTTGGCTCATTTTAAATGCACGTGTGTCTGATAAAGAAATCGGTGAGTTTTCAAGTACCCCTTCAGCTTCCGTTTGGCTGTCCGACAACACGGTTGGAGGCGTCCCTTGGATTTCTGCTGGCTCAAATTTGCCGCTGGAGCTGAAAGGTGACAAGGGTGAAGTGATATCTTTGGGTGCTTTTTGTCTAAAGTTAACTCTATCTGATTCAATTTTTTTTGGTGTAGCTGAAGTGGTATCCAACCTCTCAGCATTTGTTTTTAAAACGGTTCGTGTAGAATCAACACGAGGAGTGTTATGTGGCTGATCTTCGGTTTGCAAATCAATTTCTCGCTGGCCTTCTTTTCCAGTTCTGGCTAGTGTTTGACGTGAAACGCCATCATCCTTGTTTCCATCCTGATTCAAAGCATCAAGAAAGTCAGCACAAGGGTCCTTTCAAAAACAAAGACGCGTTAAAAAACTTACTTGTGCCTTTGTTACTTTTTGAGAGAGCTTGTCATTGGGGATGTGAGGCTGAATCTTCAGGACTTTCTTAAGAAATCGTGTCTTGTGTTCCAAGTCTTCTTCCTTAGGTGGTGTGCTCTGATGATCAAATCTCTCCTCCTTGGAAGGTTGATCAAATGTAGAGTCGTGCACTCCGGTTCTTCCTGAATCGTCTTGCAAGTTAGGCGGCTGAAGTTCTTCTTGCCTAGCCTTTGGTTTGGCAATAGCATCCACCGGATTGGGGGGTAATCTTGCGGAACCACCCTTTTCATCATCCTCAACTTTCTGTTGCTTCTTATGTTCCACTCTCTGTTGGATGATTTTATCATTGATACTCTTGCTGCTTGGAAAATATCAAAGGAAAATAAAACCTCGATTCAGATAGGAGAAGTGTTCAAGAAGCCAATCATTTAAAATTAGTTATCACATTTACCTCAAATCCTTAGTTTCAAACGTTTTTATTGATTCACTCAGGTTACTTTCCGTTTCAGCAAGGGAAGACTGTCTGGTTGCTGCCTTGGGGATAGAAGATGTCGTACTACTAGTAGATTTGGCTTCACTGAGCTGCGCCGGGCTAGCTTTAGCCTCAGAAGGGTGGATCTGTCCTGCGCCTGTCGGTGCGCTAGAAGCTCCGGTGTTTCCAGCAGGTTTGAGAGTTGGAGCAGGAGTAATGGGTGCGCTTATGGTCGCGGGAGGCTGAGTTTTGACCTCCGAAGCCTGGACATTTAGACTTTGGCCATTGCCAGGCGAAGGAAATTGATGAGCCGCGCCCTCTGAGAATATAGAAGCTCCCATGTTGAGATCTGAATGTGATGCTTCAGTAACAGCATTTGGCCCGTCAAGATGAGTGAGTTCTGCCACTGGTGGGAACATCGGTTTTGGAGCGAATTCCGCCGCATGAGGATTCAAACTGCTTCCACTCACTGGCCGACGATATTTAGGGTGTTGGGACAGCATTTGCGGGCTCCATGGATATACATACACCATACTTGGATGGGGATGTAAAATTGTGTCTTGGGAAGTTGGGGGAACAAGCGTCTGAAATGGATGTGCCGGAGGCTCGGGACTGACAAAGACATATCGGCCTGCTTGATCACCAACGCTTGGCACTGCTTCGTGGTGGTAAGGTGAGAAGGTAGCAGAGGGTGTGCCTTGGACGAGTGTCGGCCTACCATCCAACCCTGGTTGATGCCATGGGAGTAATGCACCAGTTTCAAAATGTTGAATTTCTGCCTCTGGCGGGGGTGAAGCCCAAGCTGCGAGTTGTCCAGTGGAGGGGTGAGGGATTTGATACATGCATTGAATCCGACACGCCGACAGAATGACGAAGTATAAGTTACGCCAACCGCCATGTCGCTGGGAAAACATGATGGGCCGAGTGCTTGAGTGAACCGGAGGAGTTTAGAGGAGCTGTTGATGGTAGGATTCTAATCCAGGAGAGTTTTCATCAAAGCTCAGGCCTGAGGCAGTCTCACTGATGCACTTCGAGCATCATCCTGAATAACTGATAAACATGCCCCATGGTGAAACTGAGCCATCAATTTTGAGCTTCGGTGGGGTTTCAGGGGAACTACGGGCACAAGTTTATTGCGCTCTATTGCAGGACACCGCACCGCCCCGTACAACAAAGCTTTCTAAATATGACTTCGGAATTTACCCGATGCCAGGTATGATCAGTTCTGCATCGGCGAGGGTGGAGGTGAACGCGTTCGGGGCAGCTTGGGTCGATTGTACAGATTCCTTGACGCCTGTGATGTTACATATACCAAGAATTGTGCATGTTATGTTTTGGTAAGTCTAACTGTGTGTGAGTTGGAATCAGGTTTTGGCTTCGCTTTATACAGTGCTTCAGTTGAAACCGATCTGAGATCACAGCCTTGACCACCTGACTTTCAACAGTGTTTGATACACACATCACATGTTCATGCCCAAGCTCTATCTCCATGCTGTATTTCTAACTTGGCAATGAGGTTGGATGTTGAGGATACATAAGATGATCAGCAAAACAAAGACCACAAATCCCCATTCCTGACTCCTAGTCCTTGGCAAAAAAGTTCTAGCTCAGGTAATCAATTTTTGTTTCTTGGTGCAACATATTTTTTACATGCATCCAGAAAGTGCATCCCTGTTGTGATACTACTGCTGCTGCTGGTAGTAAAGGTAATTGGATGCCTGAATATGGATGAATGATCTACTACCTCCCAATCAGGTGGTGTGTGTACACCCAGCGCTGGAGGAAGCAGGGATCTTGAGGAACCAAACACACAAACATTTTTTTGGTGTGGGTCATGTTCAGGACAAAAAAAAACAGTTCTATCTAACTGAAATCAAAGCAACTGCTTACTGACTGGCACACGCTATGCTCAAATATCTCGACCAGATGATGGATCAAAAACAGATGATAGCAAAACCCATTGGCGATTCTCTCTTCCTTGCTTGTGTTAATCTTTTTCAAATCAATGAACTATCAATATAAGAAGAAACAATCCGGAATTGTTTGAGCTCCTCATAATATCAGAGAAGAATATTTCCAAAACGATCAGCCTCTGATACTATCCTGGTGATCAGGAGCTTGCTCAGAACCGATTATGAGTGCGCAACTGGCTTGTGAGAGTGGCCGCTTATAAGACTTGCAAGGCTCTTGCAAGAGTTACTTGATGGCTGATTACCAAACACTCATCGTCGGTCGAATTGGGGCCATAATAATTAGTTCCTGATTAACCTTGCCTCTAGGCCAATTCTGGCCAGAATTCTAACCCCCACTGGCCAACCAATCCTGATTCCGGCCCAGAATTTCATTTCCCAGTGGCCAACCGATTCGTCGGGCATTAAGTAAGCTTACACTCAGTGTGTGCCCGCGTGAACACCCAGTCGGCCATAGGTACATATCGGCAGGATACCCGGTTTTCTTGCTTAATTTTTTTTTTCCTTACATAACGACCTGATCAAACATCTTCACAATCACTCATTCTGTGAAGAGTTAAACCAAACATGTATCTAGTCATGTTCTTATCAGTGTAATTACTGGTATTAATCAATTAATTACTCTCATCTTTGAAATGCCCTCCTCCTTTCCCCTGGCTTGCCAGATTGGAGCAGACGATGGCCGTGGGCTCTCACTATTCCCTCGTGCTGTCAGGCAATCAACATTTTTGCTGTGGTCAACAGCGAATGGCATTTTGACATCGAGTCGATTGACTAACTGCTCATAAACACTGATGACGCATTATTCTTTCTGTGTTGACGTGTCAAATCGCTGACTGCGACAGGTTGAGTTGGCCGCCACCTTTCGCTAAGTCTGTCTGTTGACAGGCAGCAATTTTTGGTTTTCGAATCATGACGTATATAATGATAATGGCGATTCCGAAAAAAAAAAACAGCGGTAGGAAGAGAAACAACTTGGGAACAAGTGGGCTGGGAGCCTATTGATGAATGAATACGATGATGAAACAAAAAGGCATCAAAACCAATTCAAAGCAACAAAATATTGATGAGCGATCCCGAAAGAGGGAAAAAAAAATGGTTCGTGAAAAGGGGTAGGTCGTTGAGTATGGAGGAGACGATGTCGTGCAGGTTGTGCAAGAAACAACAACAAAGGTTGGAGAATAAACAAAAACATGATGAAAACCAAGCACCAAATTGAAAATCGGAAGCAAAAAAAAAAAAAAATGAACGATAACAGGAAATGAATGCAGTGAGAGAGCGGTCAGGAGTCCTTGATTAGGGGGGATGAGAAGCCTCAAGTTCCAAAGCTGTCAGCTTTGACTGATCTTGACCGATTCAGGATAAACGAAAGAGAGAAGTTGAGGGGGACCGTCAATCAGAAGTTATGAAAACTAGCGCCGGTGGCCCGTTTCTCGTTTTCGAAAGGAAACCCGTCGTGGTGAGATTTCAAGTCGGCCAGATCGGGCTGAACTCTTGGAAGCTCGTTGATCATCGTCACTCGTCTGCTCTTGAGATGGGTCTGTCCGGGCCAGAAGTACTCGAAGCGGTCGATGTCAACCTGCCAAACCGATCCGCCGATCGGTGAGCGTTTCATTTGGTAGAGCGCACTGACAAGTAACAGGATTGTCGGCAAGGCGATCATGGCCCATCCGAGCCACGTAACGATGAAAATGAAGATGTAGCCTCGACAGATAAAGTAACGGCCCTGAGAGAGCAACAGATTCGAGATGATTCATTCAGTTAGCCTTCAAGGACAAAAACATCAGAGATCAGTTTCATTGTTTACTAACGCAGCTGGTCATCAAGCCAGGAGTTGATTCGTGCATGGAAGCCAATGACGCTATTTTTAGTCGAGGAATCAAGACATCATCACGAAATGAATTGAATGGTGGTGTCAGACATGGGTCTTATCAATTTTCTGAAAAGTCGAAAACGAGAAAAGACTGACCTGCTATTCCTGTTGTGAGTATACTTGACCAGAGGAGTTCTTGCCACACAGCTCGCATGCTGGAGAGCCCGTAGGAGCCCAAGTGTTCGTTACTCGGAAGCCATGCCAGGCCGACGATGATGAAGCTGACCGCGCTGGCAATTAGGATCTCGAGGATAGAGTGCAGGAAAGTGCCATGATACATCTTGATGGAGTAGGCCAGGATGACCGAGGTAGACGAGAGCATGAGGACGGCCATGATTGCTAGTCCTATGTGACAGAACAGTCGGACCTTGTGCATCATGATGATGGAAGGGTTTTGGCACCACGATAACATAAACATCGTCATGATTCCTGATGGGATCGTTCGTCGCAGGTGGTATCTGTTCGCGTCTGGTTAAGATTCTTGGCGTTTTTTTTCTTCAAGTTGATCTCTTCTCGTTGAGTTGGGGTTGGCTGGATTTCAAGGACCTAGTAATCCACGGCGGCAGGAAGTCGAATCGACCGAATAACGGAATCCGAGAGAGAACAGAGAACCTTGAGGGTGCGGCCCGTTAGGAGTTTTGTGGGTGAGTGGATAAATTTGATCTTCGGTTTGAAGACAAAATGAATGGATGTGATCAGTGCTGATCAAGTGAATCGCTGAAGGATGGCTGGTATTGATTGATGTGGTTTGTGGTGTAGGTTTTGAGTGGCTCGTGGGTGTGGGGGTGCTCGTTAAGGTTGTGAGGTCTTCTGGTCCAGTCTGGGTGTTTCTGGTTCTCCCAAGCAGACTGAGAGAGTTGCGGGTCGAACTGGGTCGGACTGCGAGCGGAGCACCCTCGGAGTTCTGGCGCAGAGCATGGCGCAGCTAAATGCGCACCGCGAGCTGGCCCAGAGTTGCATGCTGGAGCTTCTCCTGGCTTCTTATTCTTCTCTGAGCATCGTCTTGACCTCAGTACGCGAACACTCGTTTGATCCAAGCTCTACATAGCCCTCCGGGAAGACTGGGCCACAGGCTCAGACAATTTCAATCCCCAATCGACGGCGAAAGGATGGAGGAATCTTTGCATTCTCTGGGTTTCAAAGACATTGAGGTTGGCCTGTTTGGATCGGAAGGACCTGTCCGCCCTCCCAAAGATCTATCACGGTTCCAGTCCAACCACCTTAGGATCTACAAAACCCAAATCTTCCCGTCAATGGATTCATTTGCTTCACTTGAATCGTCCACATGAGGATGAGTGTCAATCCTTTACGAATTTTGCATCGCTATTTCAGGAACCAGATGTTAGATTCTTAGTCGCTGTGCGTATTCCTGAATGGATCTTACAAAACAGCCATGTTGTATTTGATATTTGGCTGGTGCCCACAAGGCTCAGTTTCCCTCAAGTTATGAGCCTTCTGGGTTGAATTTCTTGAACTGAGCTAAACATTATGGCATAGCAACCAGCCACAGTAACTGTGATCAATTGACTATAAGCCAATTGAAGTTTATTTAGTTGAAGAGTGGGAAGAATTCTGCTGCAAAACCCAGTTGAGCTTGCTCAACAATAATACATGGGGTAATTTTCTCCCTGGGTTGGGACAATGTTTAAATGTGACTTGAGGTAGCTTTCTGATTTTTTTTGAAGCTGGTGTGCTGGTGGAGCATTTAGACTTGACTTGGAGTGTGCTCCATGTGATATGATTGAGAAACTATTTCTTCTCCAGCTGAAAGCTAAGAATTGTTGTCTGCTTGTTCCATCCCTGAGCCATTCCCAATGGTATGGTCTTGGATACACTGTGATTGGCTCCAACAGAATGCATTGATTCTGATGTAGGAGATTATTAACTTGTATGATGGTTTGGATGTGGGGAATACACACATCAGCAAGGAAATCATTTTGAAAAAATCGAAAATTAAACTGAGAATCTTCATTTCAAGATGATAGGCAAGGTGCCTTATTCAATAGTCCTCTGTCTTTAATGAACAAAAAAAATCAACTTTGAGGCCAAGAATACTTTGAAAGCTGTGACTTCACTGAAATACTTCTCATACATCGTTTATCATTCTAGATTTTAGACACAAAATCTCCAAGGAATGAGGCTTGGTACTGTTATGCCTAAAGAGTTCCATCCTGAAGACCCATGTGCACCTTGTAGGGGGAATTCACAAAGGCAACACCCCCAACAAGGCATTTGTGCCATCGGTTTCTAAGCCACTATGGGGGTTTTCTTGGCCATGTATGCCTAGGTGTCCAAATTGACAAATGGGGGCCTGCAATTAGCTGGTGCCTGACAATTCAGTTCCATCTTTTTGATTGGTCTGGGGTTTATTCAATAAACTTTGCAATATCACACTTAAATCAATTATGCTGCCAAATGGGGCCTATCTCCACAAATTCAGTGGAAAATTACTACCAATATTGTGTAAATGTTTGTGCTTTTTCACAAGCTTTGTTTTTCTCACACTACATTTTTTAACCCCAAATCACTTCATCCCTGGCCCTACCTGTGCAAAGTGACATGAACCATCCTCTGGCTGAGACCACCCCATTGACCAATGTTGCACAGTTTTATTTTTGGGCTGAGTCAGTCATGATACCTGGTGGGTCAACTGCTGCACATTAGACCAAAATAAGTGGGGATTTAAAGATTGGGGGCAAACAAAAAGAATGGGGCATGCAATAAAATTGGAAAGGTGCAATCATTGACACAACAGCTGTGGTAAACCACTTGTTGCATTGCACCGACCAGAGGGAGGGACTTGCGAGAAAGGTTCACCCCACAGCCTAAGAGCATTAAGGATTTTGGTGGGTGTTTTTAGAATCAATCTCACACAAATTTGGTTGATTTTTTTTTTCCTCTAGTTTTCACTTGTGGGTTCTTTCAAGCTGTCCGCATCTATGTACTAATTTTACTAATGGTAAACACATCTCCTTCATTAATGATGATGATTGTAACATTTCCAATTCCAGAGACTGTACAGTGCAAAATGTGTGATGCAGGATCAGGCAGGAGAATTGTAATCACCAAAAATAAAAGTTGAAAGCCACTCAGAGCAACTCCACCACGGGCCGTAAATTGAGTCTGTCGGTGGGATTTACAAACTCAACACAACCCACCACGGTCGCTAAAATCTATGGTGGTCCGTAAATTCTCCTCGCAAGTCCTCACATGTAGGGACTCCTAGGGACTCACCTACGGCCTCCAAACAACATTTTCACACAACAACAACATGTGAAACTCAACCCTCACACACAACACCGCACTTGGCAGCACAACTGTCATCAATTCTCACAAACCGCTCCACCAAGTCACGGTGTATGCCGCAGCAGTTGGAGACTGTAAAACTGGCTGCGTGGACCCAATCAACACAATTTTAGGGCCCAAAAGTAGGGGCCGCAGTGGAGTTGCTCTCAAGGGCCTAAAAAATCAAAGAAAATATGGAATGATTCTCCATGAACTTGTGCATCTTTTGCCACCCCAAAACATTATCATCAGCCAAAAAATGGTGCTGCTACACACAATTGAAATATGTGGATTTCATAATTCTCTTATAAGGCCTCGGGCTTGATTTAGCGCATAAGTTCCTGCGGAAGGTCCTTGAGGGATGGTGTCCCCCTGCAACAGGGGGACTTGGTTAAGTTAGACACAACAGCCATAAGTAAAAGGCATTTTGATTGTGCAATATGGCCTTGGAAAGTTGGAGCATTATTGCCAACAATTTGGATACAGCATTTATAAGAATGGGCACATTTAAAGGATATGTCTCAATTCATCATGTAATGTTCAAGTTGTCTTATTGGTATTCGCTACACTTGATCACATCTCTTTCTATAGTTCTCAAAAGTGTGGACTATATATGAACAGAGGTTGTTTGGAAGCATATTTTCAAGTCTTTGGACTTGTTGAAATATTTTACCAATGCTCATCAAACATAACATTATCCAGCTGTGAAACACAAGAAACAAAGGACACACTTGGCCTGGGAGAAGAGGAACTGATCTCACACAATGGTGAAAGAAATCTGCTACTCAAATTCAGGTTGAAACTAGATCGCATCCCTTGAAAACCTAATAAGGCTGGAAGCAATGTGAAATTGGAAAAAATTGTGCCAGTGGAACATGTGTCTAGATCGACCACAGAACATAAGACTTGATGTGATTGGGCGCAAAGCAATGCAGTTGAGTGGTGCTAGTGAGAAAGGAATAGTGGCATCCAATTATTTTGAAAGCTCATGAGAGTGTTACTTAAGATGAACGGAGCAAGTTGTTCATCTGCAAAGGCAAATTCAGACGGAAAAACCCACATCTCGGTCTTTCCGGCAGTCCAAACTCTCGACAAGAAGAGAATAATCTGAAACATAAAAACTGGAGTGTACGCGCAATCGTATTTCTTAATTTCGAAAAGATCATCGGATCGATATTCAAACCTGATCCGGTCTTTTATTTGTTATATAAGAACAATTCACAAGAGAAGAACAATCCAACCAATAATTGTAAAGATAGCCATGGTTTCCTAATCTTGATACTTTGCTTAGACGCAAATGCCCGTCAAAAAAAAAAACTAGCACATCTGTAGGAAAAACCCCGCAAGAAAGCTTTCTGGGAGTGCCTCCATGCCACTGATTAATCACGATAGCCAACCTTGTACAAATTCAATGCCTGACGTTCTGTCTCTACTAAGACCCGATCCAAGCTTGTTATGTTCAAAGTTTTGAGCAGTCGGTACAGGCTGAAAGGTTTGAACGATGCGCGTGAGTAGGCTTATTCTGTTTCCAAATGATTTGTATCCAATTGAAGGTACACTCACTAGGCCTTTGCAAGTTTGAACTCATGGGACATGTATAGTAGGTTTGTGAAGACCCGCCCTCTTCGCGCCCCTGCACCCCTGCAAACAAGGTAACAATTGTAGGTATAAATGAGAAGTGACTCCTTGAAATTGACCAAGGATAGTAACAACTTACCGATCAGCTTCGTGTCGTGGTTGACATTAAAATACGAGGTTTCGACAATCGTCACATCCGAGCCCCCGACGCCCCCAGGGTTTTGATTCGCACTACAATGCACCCAGTGCATCTGGCTAACTATTTGTTTGTTTAATAGCCATCCAGACCGCACGTATTGCAGAAAGAAATGTTCCGGGAGAAGTTCAAATTCAATGTTTGATGTCTTGATATACTACTTACATAGACAAGTCGAGACTGTAACTCACAAATGCTGTTATCATCACCTGAGTTGCACCTGCTACAGGAGTAGGACTGTCCCGGGGCAGTTAGACATACTGTGGATGTTCAATGCGGATGAGTTTTCCAATGGTTGTGGATTGAAGAAGCAATACCTAGACCTCACACATTCCGTTACCACTGGGATTGAGGCCTTCTTGGCACGTGGCCGACACACCCCTCGGCACAAGGCTGTGTCGGGCCTCCGAAAGCTGAACGCAGAGGGTGGCAGCAATAATCACACTGGCAAGTGCAACACGAGCGTTTAGCATTGAAGATCGCATCTCGAACATTTTTAGTTGAACTTGAAGGGGTCCTGGATTTAACGATGAGGTCTATGTTAATTGATTCGACTGGGAATGAAACGGATGTTGGGTACTGGCTGATGATCTGAATGACACGCACTCTTAAATACTCTAAATCTTGTGCCTGACTGGTCGAAGCATCCACGTTCACCAAATCCTGGAGAAATGGTACATCCGTACATACTCATATGAACGTTGCGGTAGGCAACTCGAAAGCTATGCCTCAGATCAGATGAACACAAAAATGTACTGTTATACAGAGCGCCACCGTCTGACAGAGATAAAATTGTTTGAATTTCGTCTGGCTCATTGAACAGCCTTGTGGCGACGACCAAAGCAAGGGCGCTAACATAAACGGTATGCAGCCTCCGGCGAAGACTCCCGGCGGATAGGTTTCTCCCAGATGTACGCACCGACACATATACATAACCATCCTTGGCATCCGCCGCTCCGGCGGAAAATTCATACTTGTGAGGTTTTCCCTGAAGGATGTTTCCCAGGTGACTGAGATGAGGCGATGGGTATTATTTATCCAGCCTCCGCCGAGAAGTCAAAGTATACCAAATTCCATTGAGCCGGGGGTTTTCACCGGAGGCAGCGTGCCTACAGGCGTCCACTTCAGCCTCGTGGGTGTGCGTTTTTCCCTGATGAATGAATCACAACTGGGCTTCGAGAATGGGTTCCGATAGTTTCGAGTGGGCAAGGTGAATGGAATGAGGTGATTGATACTTTTCACACAGCCTACTGTAAGGGCCTTGTTATTTGTGGGCACTTTTAGTTATTTTATATTCTTACATATGTATTTCTATTCTCTATTATTCCTATCACTCTTTATTTCTACGAGGTGGGCACTTCTGACGTTATGTAGATGGTGGCTGGCTGGATAAAGAACGCCGTAGTTGTGCTCCCAATCAGCCTGATCCAGAACACGAAACCCAGATTCTCGGAACGGGGTGTGTACACCAAAGCTTGCCGGTGACGCAAACTCTGGTGGGGCGCTTCGCTAGGGTTGTGTTAAGTCAGGGAGCAAGGAGATTATTCCCGCAAAAAGAAGATCCCTGTTCAGGAAGCAGGCACAGTTGAGGATGATGATGAAGTGCTGGTGATAGATAGAGCAGTTTGACACCAACTCAACAAACAAGATGATGACAATAATTTCAGAGGTGCGGGCCGGGGTTAACTCTGGATGACCTGCATACTGAGAGCATCTCTAACGGTCTGGGGGTGGATCGGCTCGCCTTTGGCGGCCTGGAGTCAGATGTCCCGAGGTGTCACCGGTCTGTCACAGTTGTCCTAAATGCGGACTGTGAAGTTGAGCGGGGGTGGGTGAAACGCGGCCAAAGCTGCCAAACTCAGCAGCCGAGGGCAGCTTTGGTCCACCCCCGCGATGTTCAGCAGCTCGCTCGGCAGCTCCGCTAGCAACCAAAAGAGCCTCGCGGCCCGCTGAAGTCGGTCCCAGGTCCCGCATCAGCAGGACCGTTGGAGATGCTCTGACAGTTGCTATTACGATGCACTACCACTTAAGAACTAGTGCTACAATACTCGTGAATGAGTTTTTTGTATAAATATCAAAGATAAGCATGCCCAGAAAGGATAAAAAGAAAACGAGCATGGAAGCTATCCCTTTGGATGACAAGGGAGACACGCAGACACACACACAGAGAGAGAGAGACAGAGGGAAAAGCAAAACAAAAGAAGGTTACATCATACGACGACTACAAGATTTCTTGGGGTTTAACGATCGTTACAAGGTTAGGCGGCGGCATCATCAGGCCTCCATTGGCATCACTACAAAGCAGTTTCAATTGGGGAAAAAATGAAGTAAGCTGGACACATAACAAGAAGAGATTAAAATCAGAAATCGGGTGAGACAGGTGTCCACACCTATCTACACACACTTAAAATACATTGAATAAAAATGATCATTAATCTTGTTTTTTGTTAAGTAAGTCTCGTTACTCTCCCAAGAACCCATGATGGGAAAGAGTACTGGATCAGTGTAAATTAGAAGTGAGAAAGCTTCAATAAGAAAAATCTTCGGTATAGATATCAATATCTTTATGGCTTATTTTCCGATCGACAAGACGGAGATACTGTTGGCTGACTAAGGAGCGCATGAATCCATTTAATGACTCCGGACCGCAACCTAAATATCATAATGAGCGAGAAGTGAGAACGAATCTTCTTGAAGAAAACTTGAGAGGAGAGAAAGGGAGGGAGGGACTGACAAGCAATGAGAGTTTTACCGGCCGATCGATCGACCTCTTCGTCCAAGATTTTGGCCAGACGGGGTCTGCCAGTCTTGACGCCTTCAGACAGTTCTTCCAAGGCGAGACGTTCATGAGGACTGAGATCGATGCCCATCTCGCGCATGAGGTCGTCTTTCCAAGGAGATGAATGAAGATCGGTAGAATGCTCGAGTTGTTGAGGGAGAACCTGCTTGTTCCCATCGCCATCGACCAATGTGATCTGTTGGGAGTCATCGTTCTTCTCTTCGCTCAGACTGGCTTCTGCCCTATTAAGCCGATTTCCAAATATCCCCTTAGCCTTCGTCCGCCCACCCTCTCCACCACCGCCCTTATTATTGCGAGAAATCGTGTTTTTCCGTCGACGTTTGCCCTCGTCCTTGACGTTAGCCGAGACCATCATTTCTGCAATCGTCCCTCCACGGGCCTCGCCCTCGAACTCGGTAAAATCGAGCGGGACATCCTGGGAGTCAAGCCCATGACTCTGTTCGCTCTCGCTAACGGTGATCGAGCCCGTAAAGGAGTGTCTTGGCGGTGTCGGTGAAAAATCAGAGTCGGAATCTAGCCGGGAGAAGGGCGGGTGAGGCGGCATCAATAAGGTCTGACTATCCGCCACCTCCGCTTTGTTGTGCAAAACAGTGCCTGGTGGCGGCTTTGGCAAACCTTGGAGCGCGCTGGGAAGCTTCTTTTGCCGAAGCGAATTCGAGACATATAGGTCAAGCTGTAATTCTTCACTAGAAACCATCGCCAAACACCGTTTCAAGGCAGGTGCAACCCAGATTAAATGCGCTGAACCCGACATCATAGAGCCTTGTGAGTATATATGTCGAACAAACGTCGTCCCCAACAAATTGAGACAAATTGAAAACTTACCATATTCTCGGAAGATCCAAACCAGACGCACTCTTGTAATGTTTGACTTTGAGACACCTTTATTAGCCTTGGCGTGCGACCGAGTGCAAATTTTGAAGCATGTCTCTTCAAGCGCGGCAATTCCGAAGCTGATTCCACTGCCTCCACAAACAATGACGAGGCTATCAAGCGAGTCCCAACCCACCCTTCCAGAGCTTCCAAGGGGCCGACTGATTTGACAGCGCATAAGGATCCCATTAGTGGGTTGAGCACTGTCATCACTCTGAAATCGTTCGGCCTTTGCACGCATGATAGATTCGTAGAATTTTTTTGAGAATCCTTGCCGGGCGCGAAGAAGTAGAACAACTTCCTTCCCCGAGGACTGTTGACTAGAAGCGTCAAACTGCGAGAGGGATGATGATGAACAAATCGTGTAAGGGTGGGTCTGCCACCAAGATACAGATGGAACGCATAAGAGCAAGTACTGCCCGATCTCCCACTTGCAATCTTTAACCATCCTGTGAGTTATCCGAAGTGTCTGACCGGGCAACACTTGAACCAGCGCAAATCCAGGGGGTATTTGGGCTGATCCTAGCGAAGATTTGGGTGGGACTCTCAGAGGACCTTGTTCATAGGAGGAGGGCAAGAAGGCAGTCCGGCCTGGTGATGATGGGAGCCAAGAAGGAGGAGGATAGCTGTGTTGGACATTTGATAATCCTCCTGAAGGAGGGACAGGTGATTTTGGATCATCTTGATAAGCTTTCAAACTTGCACTCGGAGGCTGATTGGACCAAAAACGTGTCGGAGAAATCAAAAATCCGTTGAACCATAGCCAGATGCTAAGCCTGAAGGCACGCTCAGCGCCCCAGAGAGCCAGACCGATAACAGCCCATGCCCAGAGAGGCTCGTAATGAATGATGCAGCCGACCAAGAAAAGTATTGAGAGTACCACATGAGAACAATAAAAAAACTCGTAATAGCGATTTCGTAGGGGATTGAATGAAAAGCCAACGGTGATTGTAAGGGCAATATACGCCTGTGAATGGGGTGTGCTTGAGTGGTATCAGCAAACGATGAGCACATAGAAAAGGAAGAGGCAGAAAGAAAAAAAAAATGGTGAAGACATACAACGACGCCCCAATTGAACCGATAGTACTGCCAAACATCCGTCAAAAGTGTATTGCCATAAGGGTTGATGTCACGACCAAGCTGGATGGCAAAGGTGATTGTATGAATGGTACTCCAAACCCAGATCAGTCTCCCCGTCCAACGATGGAGAATGCTAGTACGGTCGAAGCCGTAGTGCGTTAGCCAGGGGATGGCAAAGATATTGAATGGCCATGATTTTAAGCCGATGGACACGACGAAGGGTATCATGGCGTAAGCGATCAGGCCGAATCGGGAGGATAGGGTCCACATCGTCCGTGGGACATCTACGTTGGGAGCGGAGAGTAGCGGGTCGGTGAATGGGGCCCAGCCGTTTGGATTGAGACTGAGAGCAGTCGCTCGAGGGAGCAAGATCTTGTGGTCCCTCGGAGCATGTGCGAGTTGAGGAGCATGAGCCGGTTGAGGGGGAGGAATGATATCTGAGTGTTGAATTCTTGCTCGGCGTGAGAGTGGTGCATAAGTTGATCTGGGAGGGCCTTGATTGAAGACTTGAACGGGACAGCGACCGCCCCAGGTGCAGGTGGTGGGTGAGATGTAGTCATCACCGACTAAGCTGATTGCGAGTAGGACGACGGTAAAAGTTAAGAGGGAGATGGCTTGACCGATGCTGATATTCGAGGAGTACCATCGTGGGATTTGGTTTGCGCGATTCGAACGCGCAGAAATGGTGGTACTGTTTGGAATTAGTCGCCGCATGAGAAGGCCGTGAGTCCATCTGATAGGATGAAAGTTCCAACCCGGCTTGTGGTCTGGATCACGGGAAGGGTTGGGACTTTGTGGAATTGGTCTTTTGAGTGCGGCATATCGTTTCAGTTGGTAGGCCATCGTCCAAATTGCCAGCAACCTGAAATGAAGATCCAGAACTAGTCGACAGTAAGATCAGGCAAAAAAAAACATGAAGTTAGCAAGCAGTGCTAGTAAACCATCATCATAAGACCGGGAAGGGCGATGGGAGCCAATCTAGGTGGGGCATGGAAAGCAAGAACATAAATAGAGAGAAAAACTCACGATGTATGCATAACGCCAAGAAGGAGGACTAAGGACGTGAGCGTCGAGATAGGGGACGATGAAGTAGTACAGATAAACATCGGTGTGACCAGGTTGAGCGGTTGAAGTGCCATAGTTGTAAGAGATGGTAGGTTGTGTGGTAGTTGGAGTGCCCGTTGCGAGCGGAGGGCGATATGGGACGGTAGCAATCGAGGCTGAGGCCATGATGAAGGCCTATGATGAAGATGGAGGAAATGGGGAGGGGAATGTGAACCTTGAGGAAGCCCAAGTTGTTCGGATGACCAAGGACAGGTTGGATACGCTGGATTTGATGGGTCAAGTTGCGTTGGGGCTGGTTTTGGTAATTTGGTGTGATTAATAATAGTTCATAGGGAACCACCAAGGGGGCGACAAGCATGGATACTTCATTGTAGCCCCTGAGTCTGAGACAAACATGACTTCATAATGAGCAAAGGAATGATCCGGGTGGCCTTGTGGTCTGTATGGGGTATGTTACTACAGACAGCTAATGATTATTATAAGGGACATATAGCTTGTTTCATTGAGCCAGCTACGTCGTTGACTGTTCAAAGTCGTTGCCAATGTGATGAAGATTAAAAAAACCCCTCTAGAAATATTATTAATACTGGTTACTGCAGAACTGTCTAGTGTTGGGAGGAGAACCTTGGGTCTGTTGACCGCCCAGCAATATATAGCCGATGAGTGGAAGCGAAAGAGCCTCTATGGTCCGGCAGAGGAACAGCCGTGAGCCGGTCTGGAATGAGTGTATCGATAGGTCTCCTCGGCACAGAAATGATTGTTTAGTTTGACCAACAAACTTCGAGGATCACGACTCGACGGGCCGGAAAGCGAGAATAGCATGATCAGCAAGTTTGATTCCTTGCTGGGGAGGAGGACTCGGGAGCAATTTCTTGGGGAAACTAGGAAGAATCAAGCTCCATGTGGGTTGGGTGGGGGATCCGATCCGAGTCCGGTCCGGTCGATCAGGATTACACAAGCTATCCCTAAAGCTGCAGTCCGAACAGCGCAGCCCGGGGCTGTATCTCCTGGGGAGCAAGCCCGGAGCCTGGAAATTGGGATTTGATTTCAACCCTTGGGACAGTCCAGGGCACCAGAGCTGGCTCCAGAGGAAGGCAGTTTTTCAGTTTCTATCACTAACACCTGCAGTTGCGGACGGCAAAAACCGACGCTGGATTTTCAGGATGTCCGAATAGTTGGGCCAAAAATTTCAGTTTATTTTTGAAATTTTCAGCCTTTTGAGCTGTTTGTAGCCTCCAGAGTGTAGAAAAAATATACTAGAATAGTAGATTAACGGTGAAAGTAGATGGTGAGGGTGTACAAGTAGTATAAAACCATGTTTATGTATCACTTAAAGCCATAACTATGGGTTTAAGTATGGCTTAATCTGTGCATGTCCGATTATATGTATGTGGAAATGAAAAAAAAAATGAACCACTCACTCAAAACCTTAGTGATTACAATTTTGAACTCTACACATCTGTAGAAGTTCAAAATTGTAATAAAATTAAGTATCAGGGCACATGCCCCCCGGGGCATAGGCCCCGCGTGTCCAATTTGGATTTTGCGGGCGGGGCATGGTCGGTCTATGCCGTACGCAACTGTATACTAGATCACACAGGATATCTGTTCAAGTATCAGGGATAGAAATGATAATCGGGCGGGTTTGGGCCGCCCACAGGCTTGCCCGGCTCTACCCGCGACTTAATCAGGCAGGCCGAGCCGGGTATGTAAAAACATGAGATTTTGATGTCCGACCCAAGTCCGTGTCCGCTGTCCGGCACATTGGGCTGTCCAGCGGCGCCCCGCTGGGCCTACTGGCCGGCGGGCTATGCGGGTGACCCATGGGCAGCCCACCAGGAGCCCACAGGCTGGGTTGTTTGAGGCACAAAAAAGAAGTTTTTCACATTTACTACAGTCTACAACAGCTTAAGGGAGAAGTGGATTCCAAAAAAAAAAAAGAGAATCTTCAGTCGGATCCTGCCAGAACAGTCAAGCCCACGGACACCGGCTGGGCCAGCCCGCACCGTTTAGTGACTTTATTTCACAAAACCCAACCCAAACCCGGCCAAGTTTGGGCAGCCTATTGGACACCTGGCCCAAATATCAACCTTAATCAGGGATATCCAGTAGACACAAGTTTTTGTTATGTGAAGTGTTTTTGGACTTCTGCAAATTTTCTGCAACATTTCTGCAATCTTTTGGTAAATTGTGTGTAATTTCCATTTTTCTATCACTTTTCTCTAAAGCAGAAGTCCTCCTGTTATGCCTCAGCAACTTACAGTAGACTTATGGAAAGTTTACAGAAGGTTACAGAAAATGTACAGAAATCAGGAAACAACTTACAGGCCAAAAACTGTTGTCTACTGGATATCCTTGATATTTTACCAGATATTATGTGTGGGATGTCAAGCTTAACTAGTCCTCCATGGCAGAAGTGGTAGCAAGCAGTGGAGCTGTCCACACCAGTGGAGGCCTATGCCTTAAGTTGCAAGTCCTTTGTGGCAAAATTTCAGATTGCACCTGAAAGCCCATTTATTGTATATTTTCTTCTCTAGATACTTCTTTCTCCACATCTGTGCAACTTCCTTCCAGGCATAGAAATGCCTGGACTACAAAAGGGATGGTGTTGGTTAACCGGTATTCCGAGTTTGTGCCTAATTTGATGGTAACTGACATGTCCTAAGGCCTTGTCACTAGATGACAGAAAGCTGTGGTGGTTATTAAACTCAAGAGCGGGAAGATTTCCAATGTAGTGGCCTTTCATCACTACAGAGTTGTTTTTGTGAACAAAAAATTCATTGCAATCAAACTGTACTTTGTAGCCATTGAGAACAAGACATCGGACAGATAGGAAATTTAAAACAATGTTGGGGATGAATAATACGTTGTTGAGGATGAGTTCACCATATTCATTCAACAAGGAAATCAATCCACTTCCTTTGATTGACAGCAAATCAGTGCCAGAGCTAGTTCAAACTATTCCCTCGTCTTTTAGTGTTAAAGAGGTGAATAAATTGATGTTGGAAGTCATGTGAGCTGATGATCCTGAATCAAGAATAAAATTTGGGAACAGATTGGTAAGAGATGAGTGAAAGCTGCTAACATTAGCCTCATTGCGGTTTGTTGCCTCAGTTTGGTTAGCCGGAGTCCTAGATCCAGGAGGCGGTCAAAGATGGGGGTACAGCATGTAGCACTTGGACTGCGGGTGAGTGGCAAGAGTGTTGTGAGCTCTGTGTTTACATTTCCCAGCGACGTCGGTGAAGAGAGCAACCTGAGTGGAGACAGCATCCGATTGAGAGGATCTATTGATCTTTTGATTGTTGTTGTAAACTTGGAGATGATTGGGAACAGTTC